ATTCTGGAGACCCCAGACTTAGCTGCTTCCCCCAGCATCTCTGAAATTACACAATGACCCAGTTTTGGCTTGCAAGGGGAGGAGGGAACATTGTTTGTTGACTATCTACTGTTTTCTGTATACTGTGCTAAGTTCTTTGGGTACATCATCTCTAGTAATTCTCATCACAGCTCTGTGAGGCAGATACTCTTATTTCCTCTAAGTTACAGATAAGGAAACTGAGGCTCAGAAAGTCAGATATGTCTCCCAGGTCCCACAGCTAGCTGGGGGATTCACTTCACCAGGTTTCTGCTCTTAACCACTCTGCTCTCCTGGTCCACTCAAACAACAAAACAGACTGTTCTATGGGGACCTAGAGTAGAGAATGATTCAGCCGGGGGTGGAGAGGGATCCAGGAGGCAACTTTTATAGCGGATCTGGAAGCATAAATAGGACTTTGTTCATGGGAAGGGTGGGGAGGGATGTTTCAAGAAGAGACAAAGCATAGAAGGACATTAAGTATGAGGTGTTAATAGGGAAAAAGGGACAGTGGTATTGTTGAGTGATGGGACAGACAGGTGGGTTGGGGTAGAGCATAGAAGCCCTTGAACATTCTGCTAAGAAGCCTGGGCTGCATCCTGGTGGCAATAGAGGGTGGTCAGTGCAAAATAGAATGTTCATCTGAGAGATGGTGAGCGGGAGAACATTCTCCCTGGTGACTGATAGAAGAAGGAACAAACTCAGGCATCTTCTGATTTCAAGGAACAGAGATGCCTGGAACTGGCTCAAGCATGCAGGACTTTATGGAACTGAAATTCAGGAGGTCATGAAAAATGGCTAGGACACACAGCTTGGTCTCATGGAACCTGGACAATCTTCAGGCAACATCTATTCCTTTTTTCTGCCTCTCCTGGAAAATCATCTTCTTTGTCTCCTTGAGCAGACTCTTGTCCCCAATTCCGAATCCCCTATAATTTTCACTTCCATGGTATTGCTACTGGGGCTCTGCTTGGGCCTCAAAGCTACGTGACTCAAAGATCCATGGCCCAGCACAAGTTGACTACAGCTTTGAGTCTCTTAATTCCGATCATAAGAAAGATAAGATCCGAGGGAAGTGACTTGTAAAGTACCTAAGAGAAAGGGAAGGGAAGTAACATTTTCTTGAATGCTTACTGTGTGCCAAGTGGGCACATGGAATATCTCAGTTAACCTCACAATAGCCTCACTGAGCAAAGGGTACAATCTCCATTTTTACAGGAAGGAGAGTGATGTGGTTTAGATAGCTTCCCCTCCAAGTCTCAGGTTGAAATATAATCCCCAATGTTAGAGGCCTGGTGGGAGGTGTTTGGTTCATGCAGGCAGACCTCTCATGAATGGTTTAGCGCTCTCCTCTTGGTGATGAGTGAGTTCACATGAGATCTGGTTGTTTAAAAGTCTGCGGACCTCCCCCCACTTGCTCTCTCGTTCCTGCTTTTGCCATGTGATGTGCCTGCTCCTGCTTTGCATTTCACCATGATTGTAAGCTTCCTGAGACCCTCACCAGAAGCTGAGTAGATGTTGGTGTCATGACTATACAGCCTGTAGAAGCACGAGCCAATTAAACTTCTTTTCTTTGTCAATTACCCAGCCTCAGAAATTTCTTTACATCAATGCAAGAATGACCTAATACAAAAAATTGGAACTAAAGAGTAGAGGTTTGCTGTAAAGATAGCTGATGATGTGGAAGTAACTTTGGAACTGGGTAATGGGCAGAGGTTGGAAGAGTTTGGAGGGCACGGAAGAAGACAGGATGATAAGGGAATGTTTGGAACTTCAACTGGCTAAATAGTTGTGACTAAAATGCTGATAGTGATGTGGATGGTGAAATCCAGGCTGATGAAGCCTCAGTTAGAAATGAGGAACCTGGCCAGGCGCGGTGGCTCACACCTGTAATCCCAGCACTTTGCGAGGCTGAGGTGGGTAGATCACTTGAGGTCAGGAGTTTGAGACCAGCCTGGCCAACATGTTGAAACCCTGTCTCTACTAAAAATTAAAAAAAAAAATAGCTGAGTGTGGTGGCATGTGTCTGCGGTCCCAGCTACTCAGGAGGCTGAGGCAGGAGAATCTCTTGAAACCAGGAGGAGGAGGTTGCAGTGAGCTGAGATCATGCCACTGCAGTCTGGCCTGGGCAACAGAGCAAGACTCTGTTGAAAGAGAAAGGAAAGAAAGAAAAGGAAGGAAGGAAGGAAGGAAAGAAAGGAAAGAAAAGAAAGAGAAGAAAGAAGGAAGGAGGAGAGGAGAGGAGAGAAGAGGAGAGGAGAGAGAAAAGGAAAGGAAAGGAAAGGAGAGAAGAAAGAAATGAGGAAACTATTGGCAACCAGAACAAAGGTCACCCTTTATATGCCTTAGCAAATAGCTTGGCTATATTGTGTTAATGCCCTAGGGAACTGTGAAAGTTTGAACTTAAGAGTGATTACCTAGAGTATCTAATAGAAGAAATTTCTGACCAGCAAACCCTTCAAGATGTGGCCTGACTGCTTCTAACAGCCTATGCTCATCTGTGGAAGCAAATAAATGAGTTAAGTTGGAACTTATATATAAAGGTAGGGTAAAAGTTTGGAAAATTTGTAGCCTAGTCATGTGGTAGAAAAGAAAAGCCTATTGTCAGGAGCGGAATCCAAGCAGGCTGTGGAGCAACCACTTACTAGAGAGACTTGCATGATTAAAGGGAGTCAGGTGCTGATATCCAGAACAATGGGAAAAGTCCCTGAAGTCATTTCAGAGCTCTTCTAGGAAGCCCCTCCCATCACAGACCCAGAGGTCTAGGAGGAAAGAATGGTTTCGCAGGCCAGGCCTGGAACTTCCATGCACAGCTGCAGGACACTGCTCTCTACATCCTGGTAGCTCTAGCTCCAGCCTCAGCTCAAAGGGGTCCAGGTACAACTTGGGCAGCAGCACCACAGGGTGCAAGCCATAAGCCTGGGCAGTTTCCATATAGTGTTAAGCCTACAAATACTCAGAATGGAGGCATGAAGGAGGCTTGGTGGCTTCCATCTATGTTTCAAAGGATGTATGGAAAAGCCTGGATGCCCCACAGAGAGACACTATTAGGGCAATTCTAAGGGGGAAATGTGGGGTTGGAGCCCCCACACAGAATTCCCACCATGACACTGCCTAGTGTAGCTGTGGGAAGGGGATCACTGGCCTCCACCCCCCAGAGTGGTAGATCTATTGGCAGCTTGCACGCCGACCCTGGTAAAGCTTCAAGCATCAACTCCAATCTTTGAGAGCAGCCATGTAGGTTACACACAACAAAGCCAGAGGGGCAGAGCTACCCAAGGCCTTGGGAGCCCACCCCTTCACCAGTTTCCTCCAGCTGTGGGACATGGAGTCAAAGGAGATTATTTTGGAGCATTAACAGTTAACAAATGCACTGCTGGATTTCAGATTTGTGTGGGACCTGTTGCCTTTTTCTTTTGACCAATTTTTCCCTTTGTGAGTGTTTATCCAATGCCTGCACCACCATTGTATCTTGGAAGTAAATAACTTGTTTTGACCTTACAGTCTCATAGGTGGGAGGAGATGAGTCTCAGATGAGACTTAGGACTTTGGACTTGATGTTGGAATGAGTTACAATTTTAGGGGACTGTTGGGAAGAGATTATTGTATTTTGCAGTGTGAGAAGGACATAGGAATTGGGGGTCTGGGGTGGATAAGATAGTTTGGATATTTATCCCCTCCAAGCCTCATGTTGAAATGTAATCTCCAGTACTGGAGGTAGGGCCTAGTGGGAGGTGTTTGGATCATGGAGGCAGATCCCTCATGAATGGCTTAGCACCATCCTTTTGGGGATGAGTGAGTTCACACAAGATCTGTTTTTTTAAAAAGTCTGGGACCTTCTCCTCTTGCTTTCTTGCTCCTGCTCTCACCGAGTGATGCACCTGCTCCCCTTCATCTTCTGCCATGATTGTAGGCTCCTGAGGCCCTCACCAGAAGCCAAGCAGATGCTGGTGCCAGGCCTGTACAGCCAGCAGAACTGTGAGCCAATTAAATCTCTTTTCTTTATCATTTTTTTATCTCATTTTTTTTTACAGCAACACAAGAACAGCCTAATATAAGAAATGACTTGTCTAGGGCCTAACAGCAAGGAATTAACAGAACATGAGAGTTAATTTTATTTGTCACCTTGGATGGAGCCATGATGCCCAGATATTTGGTCAAACATTATTCTGGATGTTTCTGTGAGGATGCTTCTGGGTAAGATTTCCATTTATGTTGGTGGATTTTGAGTAAAGCAGATTGCCCTCCACATTGTGGGTAGACTATTCAATCAGTGGAAGAGCTAAACAGACCAAAAAGACTGATCTCCTTCAAGCAAGAGGGATTTCTTCTTACAGAATCTGGACTTAAACTGCAGCATTAGTTCTCTCCTGGGTCCAATATATATCCTATTTATTTTAATTATCTGGAACACCCAGACAAATAACCAGAGTAGGAACTCTTAGTCACCTACTAGAGCAAGAATGGGAGAGAACATTTTGGGCAGCTGGGGGGACATGTTGACTGACACGGGCATCCCAGGACTGGGGACTTTAGTAAGAAACTAATAGCCCAGAATACAGGGAAAGCCAGGTCCGGGAATCAGCCCAGGCTGAGCCCCTGGGAGCCTGGCTGGATCATTAATTAGAGGCCTATGAGATAAGGGACTCAGAGGTGAGGCTAAGGAGGTAAACCTAAGGCCCAGCCAAAGAAGTCTTTGGCAGTTTGTTCCTGGTCTAGGCAGAGGCAGAGAGCACTGATATTCACTACCATGATTCCCAACTCCCTTCACCCCTGCTCTGTACCCACTTCAACTGCTGGAAATTTAGAGAACAGCTTTCCTAGCCTCTGTTGCCGCTAGGGGTTGTCATGTGACCCAGTTTGACCAATGTGATGAAGGGACCAGGAAATTTCCTCTTATAATAAGAAAGGCAGACACCAGGCACACCTTCTCCTGTTGCCCCGATGGCTTATCCCATGATCTCCTTCCTCTGATCCTGCAGGTGAGGCAGCCGTATTGTGACCATGAGAACTGAAGAGAAATGGACTCAGAACCCAGATATTGTAAGGCTCCTAGAGAAACCCTGGAAACATCTACTTATCAACGTTTTTGCTGGTGAGCTAATGAAACACCCTATGGTTAAGCTACTGTGAGTCAGAGTGTTTGTTATTTACAGCTGAACACATCCTGATTCAAGGAGGAAATATGTAAATGTGCAGCAGATATGACTTCATCTCCAATGTGCTGCCCCTCGAGAGTGTGGTGCCCAAATTTTCCTCTGTTTTTAGGATATTCTTTCTCTGCATCCTCTACCTGCTTCCCTCTCAAGCTTAGATATTGTCTTCTCTGGATAGCCAACTTCCAAGTTCTAGGCTGGATCACACACCCCTCCACTGAACTGTCTCTGTTCTGCGTATACTTGCTTTCATAGCATATGTCACATGGCAACTTTTCCATAAGACATGTGCTCTGTGAGGGCAGGAAAGAAGAAGAGAAAAGGGAGTCAGTGATATCGACCTCTTCAGCAGACTTTCACTTTTATCTCATCACCCAGACCTACCACACGGTAGGCACCCTAGCTGCAAGGAAGGCTTGCAAAGTGACGATTTCACCCTTCCAACTTCTATAGTGGAAGACAAGCAAAGGAGAAGAGTACTGGGAATGGAAGCATGGGTTGGCCACCAAGCAGCATCTGCCACAAATGACAAAATATTTTAAGTTCTTTGATGTTTTAGCCATAACATTATTTTTATTTTTTTCTAAATGGAAATATTTTATTATTTTTTCCTAATTCTAAAAGCAACAAAGCTTGTTTTAAAAATGGAAACCGTATGGGTTATGGAGTGAGGTTCCTAAAATCTTTTTCCTTTAGATACAATCTTATGAACAATTTAATCTATGTATTATTTTGGCATAAAATATTTTTTGTCTAAGCAGAAAAATATTTTAGACACTTGTTTGTAAAAGTGGGTTATATAACATATACTGTTTTGTTATCTACTTGTTTTTTTTAACTTAGGACTAGCATGGCCATTGTACATAGTCATACAAATAGATATGACTTAACCCTTTTTACCAGTGGGATAATTTCAGTATTAGTTATCTATCGCTATCTCACAAATTACCACAAACTTAGTGGCTTAAAGCGACACATATTTATTATCTCCCAATTGCTGTGGATCAGGAATCTAGGCTTTGCTTAGCTGCATTCTCTGTTTTAGGGTCTCTCATTAGGCTGAAAATTGTCTTCCAGGATTGAGTTATCTTCTGAAGGCTTGACTGGGGAAGAAAGAATCTTGCTATGGTTTGAATGTCTCCTCCAAAACTCATGTTGACATTTAATTGCCATTTTGGTGGTATTAAGAGGTGAGACCACTAAGAGATAATTAGACCATGAGGACTCTGCCCTCATAAATGAATTAATGTTATCATGAGAGTGGCTTTGTTATTGTGAAAGTAGGTTATTGTAAAAGCAAGTTTGGTTGTCTCTTCCTTGCTTGCTCTCCCTCATGTGTGCCCGTTCACCCTTCTACCTTTTGCCATGGGGTGATGTGAGAAGAAGGCCCTTGCAAGTTGCTGGAAATTTGATGCTGGATTTCTCAGCCCCCAGAACTGTGAGAAACAAATTTCTTTTATTTGTAAAATATGCAATCTGTGGTATTTTGTTATAGCAACACAAAACAGACTAAGACATATCTGCTTCCAAGCTCACTTACATAGTCAACAGAATTAGTTCCTTCTGTGTTGTTGGACAGAGAGCCTGAATTCCTTCACGGCTGTTGGTCAGAGGCTGTCCTCAGCTCCTTTCCATGTGGTCCTTCCCTACTTCCTCAGATCAGCAAGGCAGAGAATCTGCCAGAAGGGTGGAAGTCCCAACCTTTTGTAATCGAATCACAGAAGTGATGCCCACTCAATGCTGCAGTATTCTACTGGCTGGAAGCAAGTACTAGGTCGTACCCACAGTTTAAGGGGACGGCATTACACAAAGGCCTGGACACCAGGAGCCAGGGTCATGGGCGTTGCCGTCTGCTGTGGTGTCCTACTTGTTCAACTATTTTGCTGAGGCACACTAAGGTTGTTTCCAGTTTTTTCACCAATATAAACAATGTCATCATCCTTGCACTTGTATCTTCACAAACTGGTTCAAGATTTTCTTTTTACTTTTCTTACTTTTTTTTTTTTTTTTTTTGAGATGGAGTTTCGCTCTTGTTGCCCAAGCTGGAGTGCAATGGCGCGATCTAGGCTCACTACAACCTCCACCTCCTGAGTTCAAGGATTCTCTTGCCTCAGCCTCCTGAGTAGTTGGGATTACAGGCGCGTGCCAACACGCTCGGGTAATTTTCTGTATTTTTAGTAGAAACAGGGTTTCACCATGTTAACCAGGCTGGCCTCAAACCCCTGACCTCAGGTGATCTGCCCACCTCAGCATCCCAAGTGCTGGGATTAGAGGCATGACACACTGCACCCGGCCTGGTTCAAGATTTTCTTTGGAAAATTCTTCATGGTGGAATTTCTTGTACTAAAGACAAATAGATTAATGGGTAAGTGGCCTCCCAAAGGCTGACCAAATGTGTATGCCCAATATCTGGGTGTGAAAGTGGACTATTTCTTGTCACACTCACTAATACAGCATTTAACAATTTGTTAAACTGGCTGGGGGCAGTGGCTCAAGCCTGTAATCCCAGCACTTTGGGAAGCCAAGGTGGGCAGATCACAAGGTCAGGAGTTCAAGACCAGCCTGGTCAATATGGTGAAACCACGTCTCTCCTAAAAATACAAAAATTAACCAGGCATGATGGCGGGTGCCTGTAGTCCCAGCTACTCAGGAGGCTGAGGCAGGAGAATCACTTGAACCTGGGAGGTGACGGTTGCAGTGAGATGAGATCAAGCCACTGTACTCCAGCCTGGGTGACAGAATGAGACTCCATCTCAAAAAAACAAAAACAAACAAACAAACAAACAAAAAATCTTAAATATTCTTCAATATGATAGATGGAAACTGGAATATTTGTATTTTAGTTTGCAATTCTTTGTTTCTCAGTAAGGTTGAAAATATTCTCTAATGTTACCAGCTACTTGTTTCGGTCAGGATTTTTTGGTTATCAAGTACAAAAATAGCCTCTTTTTTTTTTTTTTTTTTTTTTGAGGCAGGTTCTTGCTCTGTCACCGAGGCTGAAACGCAGTGCTTGACCTCGCAGGCACAAGCAATCCTCCTGCCTCAGCCTCCTGAGTAGCTGTAACTACAGGCAGACAGCACCATGCCTGGCTAATTTTTAAATTTTTCTTTTGTACAGATGTGGTCTAACTATGTTGATCAGGCTGGGTTCAAACTCCTGGCCTCAAGTGATCTTTCTGCCTTGGCCTCTGAAAGCCCTGGGATTATAGGCATGAGCCACTTCACTGTGCCAAAAAAGCCATTTGAACTAGCTTATGTGTGAGCCATCGCGCCCAGCCTGCAATTTTTCTATTAGGACATTGCTCTTTTTCCTACTGACCTCTCACATATTTTGCAAATTATATCTTTCCTTTGTCTTTATGCCTTTTACAATACAAAAGTTTTAAATTTCAACGTGGTGAGACCTATTGGCCTTATTTCTCACTTCTGACCCTCATGGCATTCTGAGACAGGCCTTTCTCAACTCAGGGTCATAAAACCTTTCTTTCTTTTATTTTCCCTATGACTTTAACAATATCTGTCTTACGTTATTTGAATATCAAATCCATTTCAAATTGGTTTTTACAATTGAATTAATCATCTCTCGAATAATCATCTCAACATCATTACTTGGCTAGGCCCTTCTTTCCCCACTGACCTGCATTGATGTCCCACCTCCCACTGTCTGTAGTGGTTACTGGCAGGGACATTTGAGTTGGACACACTTGGGTACTGGGTCCCGCTCTGCCACTCACTGGTTGTGTGACCCTGAGTAGGTTACTTAAGGTCTCTGGGCTTGTGCCTCCTCCTTGCAAAGTGGGGATCATCAGGGTTCCAAACTCAGGTGATTGCTGTGGAATGAATTGATCCAGTCCCCCCCAATCACACAGTAACCATCCTCAAGATTACTGTTTCCTAATTCCCCCCAACCCCACTTGAAGAACCTATGTCTGGGCTGTCACTGGTTCCCTCTGTCTGCTCCGCCCCAGAACCTCACCATTTACAACCTCTGGTTCCATAGCCCGTGTTAGTATCCTCCAGTCTGGAAGCTTCTAGAGGACAAGGATGGTGCCTCAGAACCTGGTGTATAGTAGGTGCTCAACAAACATCCACAGAAAGAATGACTGAGTAATGTGAGTTCCCCTCCTTGTTATATTTCTTAGACATTTTCTTGGCTATTCTTGAGCATTTTTTCTCCCAAATTAATTTTAATTAATTTGTCAAGATCTTCTCTTGGGTACTAATGGGATGTTTTATTGGCATTACAGCAAATTAATGAGGTGATTTGAGGCGAATTGGCCTTACAGCCCCAGGAACGTGAGCTGCAGTGCATTTACCCAGCCCTTCTTTCATGAGCTTTGCTAAGCTGCATCGTTTCCTTGTTATTGGCCTGGCCTGTTTGCCTGCACGTTTATTCCTAGATGTTTTGCTGTTTCTCTTGCTTTTATGAAAGGCGTCTCTTCTCCATTGTAGTGGCTGAGCAGTTAGCATCTTGGGTGGAATCAAGATCCTACCGCTTTCTGGCATCAGTGGTTATGAGCACACAGCTTCAGAGTCCAGCAGATCTGGGTGTGAATCCACTTAATGAGTGTATAACCATGAGAAATGACCCTCCACCTCGAGTCTCAGTTTCCTGGCCTGTGACAGAGAAGAACTAACATATGTGCTGCAGTCGTGCTGTAAATATTAAATTAGATATTTTGAGTAAAGCTTTTAGGCTGGCACCTGTACAAATATGCAAGAAATGTCTTCTATTACGGTTATTTAGTAATATTACTGGCATAAATATTTTATAACTCTAAACAATGTACTATCATGCTGGGCGTTTTGTCGTTACTATACACAAAAAATATTTCTGATGCCACACCCCCCACCCCATCTCTTTGGTAACTAGAGGACTGCACTATTTTCTTAGTGCTCCGCCTAATGATCTTTCAGATTCTTGAAAGCAATGTGGATGTTGAGTGTGGAGATGCAGAGAGAGAAAGAGAAATTGCTCCAAGACCAGGTGGAGACTGAGGATGGGGACAGGAAACATTGAAAGGCATGAGTGAACGTAACAGGAAAGGGTTCTTGGGGGGAAGGAATGAGAGAGAGAGCGAGAGAGCAGGATGGGAGGAGACAGGATACAGTAGAGAAGTGTCAAATGTGATGTGGACTTTGGAGGGAAATCCTCAGCTCTCCCCATTGTCTCTGCTCCTCTGACTTTCTGGCCAAGCAAGGAAGTTATGAGCACTGCCCTTCCAACCCAAGACCTCTGCCTGGGTCTCTCCAGGAGGTCCTTGATCCTCAAGACAGAACAGCTGGACCAACAATCTCAGCGCTGCAGCTGCCCGCAATGCATCTATGGAGGCTGCAGGTCCCCTGCAGGGCCCCAGATTCCCAGGCCCCACAGAGGCCTGAGCCCATCAGAAAGTGAAGTGCCTCCCTGTTGCTCCGGGAGGAGGCTGGCAGAAGGATTGGGAAACCAGCCGTGGGGACCTGCATCTGCTGCAGGGCGTGGGCATGGAGAGAAAGGCCAGCAGGCTGCCTGCCCCCCAGCCCTCCCCAGCTGAGGCTTCTCTAGCAGTCTCAGCATGTTTCCCTACCTCTGGGTGGGATTCTGCAGGGCTGGAAGGGTTCAAGCATCCTTCTTTGAAATTCAACGCTAAGTTCTTATGACACCGTTTATTACCTATGAACCCTGTGCATGAATGAGTGTATTCTCTCATTCTGGGCCACCAAGTAAATTTCCCGACACAGCCCCTGCAGGGCACGCATGTTAGAAACTGTCAAGGCAGGAAACAGTGCACTGCAAGTGGGTAATTTGAGCAGTACGTGAGAGGGACTTTTTACAAAGGTGCAGGCAGGCTGAAAAGGAGCCACAAGAGACAGTGCCGCACCCTTGGTGGTCACAGCCAGTCACCTTCGCCCTTAGGGCTGGAGCAGACTAGCCCCCAACCTCACTCCCTGCTTCCCTCCTGGCAACGCTGCCCGTTGGCTGAACACAACAGGAAGCCAGGGGACGAGGGAGCTCTTTGACGTAGCAGGCTTTTGGGGTGGAGAGAGGGTCTGGCAGGACAGATGGACGTTATCCATCATGGCAGGGAAGCCCTACATCAGTCTCCAGAAGAGTGATGGCAGACACTTGTGGCAGGTGCCTGGCTCTTTAGCAGGCCGTTTATCTGTATGAATTTATTTAATCCCCATCACAACCCTTTGAGATAGGTGTGATTAACAGCAACATCTTTACTTTGCTCACAGGGAAACTGAGGCCTAGACAGGTTAGCAACTTGCCCAAGTTGCCCTGCTACCGAGAGGCAGAGCTGGGACCTGGATCCAGGTCTCGTAGCCTGGGGTCTGAGGTCTGAGGTCTGAGGCCCTCCCCTGCACTGCTCCCTACCCCTTGTCGCGGACCCCTAGAGGAAATCCTCCTGCACGTCAGGTGTTGACTACCTTCCCATGAGGCTCTGCCCTGTAGAATGTGCTAGGCTGGCATGCATCCAATGT